TCACTACAGTGAGATGTAGGTCTTCCCATTTTCATGTCCAGAAAAGGGAATGCAGCCCATGGAGGCTAAGCCCCGTGTCCAGGGGTTCCCAATTACTGCATGCTGGGACCTGGGTGACAACAGGTCCATTCATTGGTGTAGAAGTTTGGATTTCATGCTTTCAGCAACAGAAACAACCCTGCTTACTCGAAGCATAAAAAGAATTGATCAGAAGATGTGATAGGTCACAGAATTCGCGGAAAAATTGAAGACATAGATGAGGAAAGACTGGAACCAAGGACAATTCTGGGGATCCAGGTAGGAAAGCAAATGGGCAGACTCATCAGGAAACCCTGTGTCATTTTGCCCACAGTTCAAATTTTATGAAAAGAGCATTTGAGTGCCCTAGTGTAGGACAGACGCTCATCCCTTGCACAGAGGAGGCAGGATATGAGATTGGCAACCTCCACTAGGGCTGGATCCATTGAGGGTGTGGGAGTCCTGTTTTCAGGGGAAGGGAGAGTCGAACTAGGCAGGCCAAAGCAATAGGCAATCAACATACAGCATTGTAGAAAACTTTCTCACAGAGTGCAACTGACTCTACCCAGTAAATGTCAATACTTTTCACAGGAGGCCAGGCCCTGCTCAAGGCTGCAGGCCAAACACGTGTCAGGAGAGCCCCGTTCTCAGGGAGCCAATGCCATGCGACAGCTGCTTCCTCAGTGGCACTCCTTACCACAGAAGTGAGACATCTGTCACCAGCCGAATAACGGCCTGGTATACATCACAGAGCCCAAGTGAGAAATGACGGAGAGATGTCACCAGACTTGGACAAACAGACCGAGGTTGTTTCTGAACTAGAGATGTGAACTGTGTCTCACAGTCCGCCAACTCACCGCTCCCTGAGGCTTTCGGTAGCACTAAACGTTTAGCTGTGGGGAGTCAGGAAATGCTTGTTGGTTTGAAGGAATTCAGCCCTTTTCTTAAGGAGTTCTAGGTAGGAGTTTGGAAATGTGGGATCTCAGACACATTCTGGCACCTCGCTGTGTCACAATTTCCTTAACAGCTAAGTAGAGGCAGACGTAATTCCTCTCGTCCCCTGCGTCCTGAAGCAGTCAGAGAATAAAGCCATATGTATAAAAAAGTACTTCAGAAAGTAAATAACAAAAATGCTCTTCTCATTTCTGCCTTTTGACCAAACAAACAAACAATGCTTATAATCCAGTCACCTCCTACCATTTCTTATAAATTATTGATTTCTGGAATGGGTTTTTAAGATCGTCCACAAGCAAACTAGTTAGGCTATTTACCTAGCTGTCATGAAAATTGAGAGCTGGTAATATTTGAGTTAATACAAATTATTCCTCAATAAAGACCCACCTTTTGCCAACCAAGGTCCCCGACATCTTAGTGTTATTATTTTACTATTTTGTCTTCATAAGCACATCCTGATTACATTTACACCCCCCAAAAAACCCCTAGAAAATAGTCAAGTCAAAACAAATCATCCAGGAACTCCTGGGTGGCTCAGTGGGTTGGACCACTGCCTTCGGCTCAGGTCATGATCCTGGAGTCCCGGGATCAAGTCCTGCATCGGGCTCCTAGCTCCACAGGGAGTCTGCTTCTCTCTCTTCTTCTCCTCGCTCATGCTCTCTCTCACTGTCTCTCTCTCTCAAATAAATAAATAAAATCTTTAAAAAAAAAAAAAACCATCCACCTCTTAGCTGCCTTAACTGTTAGTATTTTGATGTGTTTTTTCCCAAGTTTGAAGCATCTTTTCGAAAATGTTGTATTTATAGAGTACAAACAGTGGAATCACAGTCTTCATTGATTTTTTAATAAGTTATTTTTCCACGTCTAAGCAAAACCATCAATTTCACTGAGCTAACCGGTCAGACCTCCAAGTAGTCAAAGAAAAAATTCTCTAAAGGGAGTGCCCTTTGCAGTTTAACTGAGGCATCACAGCTGTCCAGGAAGGAAAGCGAGGAAACTGGGTGTTTCGGGGGAGCTGCCTGGTGTCGTCACTGCAAACCAGCTCTGTCCAGCCAGTCTTTCCCTTGTGCCTTGTTTTGTTACAATCCCTACTGAGAAGACAAGGGTAGCTAAAAGCTGCATTCATTTCTGTCTCCTCCTCTCTGTCTTTAGATCCTGTTGCTTAAAATACCAGCAAGCCTCAGGGAGAGGTTTGCCCCAGACTGTCCCAGGGTTAGCTCGAAAGCTCTGCCTCCTGGGAAACTCCTCAGGCCAGGGCGGACGCGGAGAGCTGGTCACCCCTCCCCCGCAGGAACATGTGGAGGAAAGTACACAGATCCTCCACAACTGACCAGCTCATCAGGGCTTGGGCCCTATCCTGGAACGTCTCTGACTACCAAGCTGAGCAGCATGTGCCCTTGGGCCTCGGAACCACCCACCCCTACGCTCCACCCATCTGGTTCCTTGGCTCCCTTCACTGGATCCTGGGTATCTCTCCCACTCACCCAGCCCTAAAGGCAACTGAGATATTCCTGTCAGGGCTGATGAGAGTAAATGTGACATTTAGATAAAAATAAAAGCTCTGGAATTCTTATATTTAATGCTGGCAGCCTTAAATGCCAGCTTTGAAATCACCTCCCTTGATCATTAATCTGGTTTCTTTTCTTTTTTTTTTGCATTTGACTTATGTGCCCTTTAGAAGTTAAAAACGGGTTCCTTGCTTTAAGAAGATTTTCCGTGTGCCCCCAGAAGTAGGCCTTCTACGCGTCCCCTGTGCAAAATTATGCAATTCAGCCCCACACTACCTCCTTCCAGAGAGTTAGAGCTCTTGTTTGTGATGAGTCTTGAATAACAAGGGGCACAGCTCAGGGACAGACTGCATTTCAATTCAGTCCAACAAACATGTACGCTAATGCTGTACAAATAGGCCCGTTTTTGCTGTAACCTGTGGATCTGCATCCCTGAAAGATAAAAAATTCCAATCAATTTCAAAATATACGGATGATCGTCAGGTAGCTCCAAGAGACACTCAGAAAGATGTGAGCTTCATTTAGTGGCCACGGAGTGGAAAGCAACCAGATGTGCTTGTGTATTTGCTAGTTAATCAGCATCTTTTCATGGAATTCTAGAAGAGGAATTACTTTATAGATGATTATCTCCGCTAATCAGGCCTTTCTCGAATGGGGGAGGATTTAAGCCTTGTTTGCTGGTACAGATCATGTGTAATTGTTTCCATACTGTTGGCAAAACAGCTGTAGGAGTTTTGCATGGGCCATAAGTACCCAAGGTCTTTGAGGCAATTTCTTTGTATAAACAATGCAAATTTTTATTGCTAGAGTTGAGTTGAGTCTTTTAAAGAGGCTTTAAATCGAGCAGGAGTTTTCCCCTTTGGGTTTCTGCTTAGGAGAGCGGAGGTGGTGATGGTGATGGGGTAACATGAAAGATCCTGTGCTCCGGCAGCAGAGGCCCAGGGCTCTTTCATCTTGGGCTCAGTCCTGGCCCACTGCTGCTTGAGGATTTGGAGTGTGTAAAAGTCCTGGGCTGTTTAATTATGTGCAAGCCTTTTAAGAAGCCTGCACCAGGAAGGCAGAGATGGAAACATGTGCAGTGAAACATTTTATATCCAATTTGAGGATTCAACCAAAGGTCTTCACTTGAGCGAAACCAGAACTTCCAAGTAGATCAAAGGTAGCATGGAGCGGAGGAAAACCTCTTTGTTAGGAGTTGAGTAACAATGCCTTACAAGAATTAGTATCGTGTGAGTTGCATAAAAATAACCTGAGAAGAGTGGAAAACAAGGGAGAAAATGAATCAGATTTATACCACCTATGTTAACCAACTATATTCATGTTTTTTAAAGTGGCATCCCATATGTGTATGGGTTTATACGCCTATGTTCTACATGCATGATTGTGATATGTATTTGACTTTCAGCTTTCATACTTAACAGCATGCGAGAAGTATTTTTCACGTTGCTGCATGGTTCAGTGGAACATTTTAAATGGTTTTGCATGATCCCATAGGATTTCTGTTCCGTAGTTTATTTACTATCCCCTTCACTATGGAACTTTTGGACTGTGTTTCAGTTTTTCATTATAAGACCCAACGAATATGTCTATATATATTGGGGGGGCTTATTTTCATAAAATTCATAACACAAACTGGAGTTATTGGGACAGAGAGTCTCAACATTTTCGAATCTTGTTGTTAAAAATGGATCATTGCTTTCCTGAAGAGTAGTACCATTTTTACACTTCATTAGCATGGGGTGGTATCTGAATTCTTTCCCAAGCCAGCTGAATATTGCTTTATTGGTTTTGGAGAAAAGGCACGAGTTGCTTCAGAGTTGTTTCTCCTATACTGTCCACCATCTTTGCAAAAAAAATAAAAATTGTATTCTAGGAAGAAGAGACATTCCTCATTGTTGACAAGTGGCTACCGTGTCTAAGAAAAGGAGGCCTTATAAGGGGCATGGCAGACCCAGTTGCCTCCAACAAGGAACAAATCTGAGACACCTGCTTCTCTCCATCTGCCTCAAAAAATTGTAGTTGCCACTATAAAAACCAGTGTTGGAAGGCAGAGTAGTATGGATTAGCAGCTCCTGAGAGAATGCCCAACCCACCAGCTCGAAAGCCAAGTTAATGAAATGCAGTCTCCACGCAAATCCAATGGTATAGTGTTCCTCAGTTTCACTAAGAGGTAACCACAGTCCTCTTCTTGAACATAGCTGTACCTTGAAGTGATATCCCTGGATAATACAATACAAATGCTTTTGTGACTGCGAGAAACCTTTATGCAGGTTCCTAGGAAGGTTTGAACTTCTGGAAGAATTGCAATGGCTGAGCCAAGGCTTGTGCTGATTTCAGATTGTTGGTGTGGCCAACTGGAGGAAAATGACCCCACTCACCTACTGGGCTGGCCTCTCTGAGCACAGTATCAGAAAGTCTCCCATTACCTTTTCTCTCATGCACACACTGTCCATACCCAGATACACATGGTGGCTTCAGCTGCTAAGTCCCATATTTGCCCACACCTCAATTTCGTTTCAGGTTCTGATCTACAATGGCCAGCTGGACATCATCGTGGCAGCTTCCCTGACAGAGCGCTCTCTGATGGCCATGAAGTGGAAGGGGTCCCAGAAATACAAGCAGGCAGCAAGAAAAGTTTGGAAGATCCTTAAATCCGATAGTGAAGTGGCTGGTTATGTGCGGCAGGTGGATGACTTCTCTCAGGTCTGGAGACACTTTGGGGCCTGTAGGTTTTGGGGGTGGGGGGTGGTGGATGGTGGGGTTGAAACAAAAGCTTGAACACCAGGAAGGCATGGCTAGCCCTACGCAGGATCACACAACAGCCCAAGGGTGTCTTCTGTGGCCCTCCTCTCCACAGGGCAGAGTGCCTGAGTTCATTAAAGTACACAGTGATTCATGGGAACCAAAACAAAAGTTTAGATATTATTCAAGAGACAAGGTGACAACCAAAAAGGTAATACTCATTCCAAAAGACAAATCATTAATGAGAGAGTTAGTCTGTTTGGGAACAGAAGGGAGCTTGAACAAATGACATGAGTTAGATTCAGTGTAATCTCTCCTGGCAAATCTGTGCTCACATTGGGTCTCATGCATGAAGCCCCAGGACAAAATCTGTGCATCTGATGCCCCTAGTGTGACCTCCACTTCAGGGCTCAGATGTTGCTCCTGGCCATGCCTGTCCACTGTGCCTCCAGTCTGCAGGTCTCAGTCCCTCAAGGGTCTTCAGGGCTTCATTGGTGACTACGTGATGATTATTACACTGTTTACCTCCAGAAAGTTCTTGGAGAAATCGAGAATGCTTTTGCGTAGTTAGTCAAGAGGAGAGATTTAAGTCTTCTAGACCTGAATTTTTTTTTCCTGCAGTTTTTTATTGGAGGAGACATTGGGAACTCAGTTCTATAGTTTTGAGTATTTGGAATTACAGCTTTCCAAATGCTCGAGCTTTTCATTAGGCAAATCCATACTCCAAATAACAATTGATCTCAGAGGCATGCTACCTTGAAAGTACTTTGCTTTGGCAAAATAAACGAGAGTTCACAACAAATTCCTTAAAGGTCACTGAGTTGTGATATGCATTACTCACTTATGTTAGAAGAAATGATGGATCAAGCAGAAATTATGGATAGTCTAATGTATAAAGGGACCCTTTCATCCCCCCAACCCCACCCATCATTCTAACCATGTAATAACATATACAAAATTTAAATATTTTGCAACGTTAACTACCTTGGACAAAGGAAACAGTTGAGAGACATAGTTCTGGGCTCAAGTAAAGGGAAACTCTATGTTGGAAAACTTATAACGTTATAGTTTCTAAATTGAGATAAATTATACCAATGAATTAAAAACTGGTGCCACAGCAAACTAAATGAGTCAGAGCAGAAACAGTTCTGACAGGACGCATGTGAGGTTTGAAAGTAAGGCTGGGGCAGGATGGAGATAGGAGTGTCTATTGAACTGCAGAGAAATCTGGAGAGGAGATGGTGAGTGCTGTGTCCACCCTGGGTCTTCTGTAAACGACCCAAGCAGTCTTGGATTGGGTATCGACTTGGGAATCATAATAACTGGTTAACTCTAAAGACTGATTCCAAATGATTGAAATTCCTGGACAAATGGAGCCTCTTCATTTGCAGAAGATATCCTGGACTTCATTTTTGGTATTTATTTGTCTGTTTTTAAGTAACACAAGTTTTATATATATATATATATATATATATATATATATATATATACACACACACATACATACATACATACATACACATATATACACACACACATATATGTACACACATATATATATACACATATGTGTGTATATGTATATATATGTATATATGTGTACACATATATGTGTGTGTGTATATGTGTATATATATATACACACATATATAGAGAGAACAGAGAACATATATGTGTATATATATAGAGAGAGAATATATATACACATACATATATAGAGAAGAGAGAACATATATGTATTTGTTCTCTGTTCATTATTAAATATATTGATTAATATAAAATCTATATTGTATATATAATATATATTTAATATGATTTTTCTATTCTACTTTTACATCCATTTTTACTTTATTTATTTTGTCATTAAATGCATACAGCCATAGAAGTTATACTTTCCTGGCAAATTAAATCAACATTATTCTCAGGAAGTATCCCATTTTTTTTTAAAGAGTTTATTTACTTATTTGACAGACAGAGATCACAAGTAGGCAGAGAGGCAGGCAGAGAGTGAGATGGAAGCAGGCCCCCCGCTGAGCAGAGAGCCAGATGTGGGGCTCGATCCCAGGACCCTGAGATCATGACCCGAGCTGAAGGCAGAGGCTTTAACCAACTGAACCACCCAGGCGCCCCAGGAAGTATCCCATTTTTAGTCTAGTAATGTTTCTTGTCCTAAAGTCTGTTTTGTTAATAGTACTCTAACAATGCCAACTTCCTTTTTTTTTTTTAAGATTTTATTTATTTATCTGACAGACAAAGATCAAAAGTAGACAGAGAGGCAGGCAGAGAGAGAGGGGGAAGCAAGCTCCCTGTTGAGTAGAGAGCCCGATGTGGGGCTTGATCCCAGTACCCTGAGATCATGACCTGAGCCGAAGGCAGAGGCTTAACCCACTGAGCCACTCAGGCACCCCGCCAACTTCCTTTTTGATTAATGTTTCCCTGGGACATCTTTTTCAACTCTTCGTTTTCAATTTTTCTGTATCCTTATATAGAAAGATGTGTCTCTCTTAAGCAGCATTTAATTGGGTTTTGTGTATCTTTAATAGAGCCTGACAATATTTTTTTAAAATGGAATAGTCCATTTACATTTAGTGTAATTACTGGTATATTGTGTTTAAATCTACTGCTTTACTCTTTGTTTCTTACTTATCTTACTTTTTTGTATTTCTCTTTTCTTTATTGCATCTTTTGTATTACTCAAGTGTTTTATATCATTTTTGGGTTTTATTCCCTCTGAAAACCTGTTAGGCTATACACTCTTTTAATCTTGTTTAATGATTATACTCAAGGGTAAATTATAAATTCTGGACTTAATCCTAATATAAATTAGAATTTTACCACTTTCCACATAAATGCAAGAACCTTAGATCTTCCTTACCAACTCTCCTCATTTTATGTTATCATTAAAAACAAAACAAGGGGCGCCTGGTGGCTCAGTGGGTTAAGCCTCTGCCTTCAGCTCGGGTCATGATCTCAGGGTCGTGGGATCCAGCCCCGCTTCAGGCTCTCTGCTCAGCAGGGAGCCTGCTTACCCCTCTCCCTCTACCTGCCTCTCTGCCTACTTGTAATCTCTCTTTGTCAAATAAATAAATAAAATCTTAAAAAAAAAATCTACACACTCTTCGAACACCACACAACGTTACCTGCATCATGTTATACAGCCAGTATCATTGTGACTTACCCATAAACTGATCCATTTGATTCCCCTTCAGCCTCTTTCCCATTTCCATGTTTCTGACTGGAATTATTTTTCTTTGCTTAAAAAAAAAAAAAAATCCCTTTATTATTTATTTTAGTATAGTTGTGTTGGCAACAGTTTCTGTTTTTGTTTGTCTGAAAATGTCTTTATGTTGCCTTTAGTTGAGAAGTACATTTTTCGTGGAATTGAAGTTTACCTGGGCAGTTATTGTCTTTTCAGTTTTCTGTCTTTGACTCGGGTCATGATCCCAGGGTCCTGGGATGGACCGTGTCAGGCTCCCTGCTCAGCGGGGAGCCTGCTTCTCCCTCTCCTCCCTGCTTGTGCGCTCTTTAACTCTGTTCCCTGCACCGCCTCAAATAATATCTTAAAAAAGAAAAAAGAACAGCAGTCTGTGATACCCTTATAGGATTATTGAGGGAATTCAACAAGTTAATTAGCAGAGAACAGTTCCTCATCATAGTAAACATTTGTTATTATTACCCCGAAGTGCATATAAAAATAGATATAATAAAAGGAAAATTATAAATCATCAGGATCAGGGAAAATTATTAAAAATCAAGCCTTCAGGGAAGTTTAAGTATTAATATTTAGGCTATTAAGGCTAATATAAGGTTATTAGGAGGCTATTAGCATGAATGCTGAGCTGCCAGGAGCAATGGACATCACTTGTCCCCTGTCTGCTGCACAGCGTTATGATGACGATACCACCAGGCACATGAGCATATCCTAGGGTTCTCGATGGCTGTGTCTGCCGCCTGTTACTTTATGTCCCCCAGACCAGCCTTGCGAAGCACTCCAGTGCCCCGCACCACACCTGTATCCCGCTGGGCTCGGTGCATAGAACCTCTAGCTGGGGAGACTGGGCTGTGGCTGCAGGGACGGCATGCGCTACCAAGGTGGGGAGAAGGGATTGGCTGCCACCCCAAAACTTGGGACAAATAACACACTAAGCCTGCTATCTCTTCTTGTGAATGCAAAACACACTGAAAGATGAAATGGCCCTCGACCGGCTGCCAAAAAATGGTAACAAAAGCAGCAAGGCCCACATGTGTTTGTGATGGGGAGTGTTTTACCACACGCCAAGGGATCTGCGTTTTATGTAGGTGATATTAAAATGTTGGCAGAGCTCCTGCCCACTTACGCCTCAACGTAGGCTCGGGGGTGGCGTGTGGAGATGGGGAATTATGGAGGAAAAAGAGCACCGGTGTTAAGAAAGGCATTCTCTGTGCACCCCGGATTGAGAATCCTGTCCAAAGGTCAAGCGTCTGATAATGAAAAAAGCGGACCTTAGCCATGAATTTGCCTTTCGGCATTGGACACACAAAACAGAAGCATGTGAATGTGTCTGCCAAAAAAAGAAAGTTCACTCTCTGCCAAACTCCACGTCTCTTAATGTAAAAATCGAAACCAGTGTAGACCCACCCGTCTCCAAGTGGTTACCTAAAGTGTCCATTCAAAAGAATGACAGCTGTCCCTGGGGAGCAACAGGGTAGTGAGAGGGAGCCTTTCTCTCCACATGTTCCCTGTCAGCTGAAGCCTTGGGAAAACCCAAAGGCAGCTCCAGCCTGTCTGTGGAGATCCGGTGAAGCAGGTCTGTGTGTTGCCTCTTGCTGGTTCTAGCCTAGAAGGCCATGTGCCTTTGGGATCTCTACCATTCTAAGAATTAGACACTGCCTTACTACGTCACCCAGGGAAGTGGCCTTTGCTCCATTTGTTCATCTATAAAATGCAGGGTTTGGACTGAGTTATCTGTAAGATATCTAAG